AATATTGGTTGCATACTTCTAATACATTGATGTGTTTTTTTTCAGATTGAACATAGGGATTTTATGGTGTATGTTCAGAGTTAAAAAAATGTCCCTGTATAGTTGGATTCATGTATCTTTTGACACAAGTGACCGAAGTATCATACAAGCTCAGACAGCACCTATCATAAGAATCTTTGTTTTAAGGATTACAAAAACGAAGAGCCAGACAAATAGTATGTCTACCGAAATTAGGCCAAATTACGCTCTACGTCAGTTATTCTCTTCCACAAAGTTCCTTGAATTAGAAAAAGATAAAATACGTAATAAATGCGTCCACATAGTGCGACAGGCACTGATGTAGTCAATCTAGTGACTGATAATAATTCATCGATTTTTCATCAAACGTCACTGTCATTTTTGGTTTTACTCGGAGTGGTTAATCGCAGTTTTTCGTTGTTCTATTCAAGATTTCTTTTCAGTTCTTCGTAAAGTTCGTTGGTTATTAGGATTCTTGTTTCGTTGTCCTATTTTTTATGTTTTGTTATCTTATTTCTTGTTCGTGTTTGGTCTACAACATGACGGGCAAACGTTTGAGCTCCCGTGCCCAGGACATCGTGTCCAACTTTATAGAGTATTTTGCTCTTGAGAAGGAAAACGGTGGTCCTTTAATCTCATTAAATGGTACAGAACGAGTAAGTAAGTAAAAACCACTTGAAGGTTCATGCTTAATAATTTCGCTCAAATTTTTAGCGAGTTGCAGATGCTCTAGGCGTTACTCGCCGAACGGTTTCGAAGATTAAAACTCGAAAAGAAAGACTCGGCGTCCTTCCCAGTCCGACAAAATCACGACCCAATCGGAAAGCACCGAAACCAAAAGACCTGCCTAAGCCTAGACATTTGTGTTATGTTGACGTTATGAACATTGTCACGTGTGTAAAAAGATACATGAATCGAACTATATAAATTTTCCGGTAAGTTTCGGGTTTGACGCAAATGTGTCATTTTATATTATTAGATAAATTACATAAAATTGGATTTGGGAGCATGCTTTTACAACTATTTAATTCGTACTTAATGGGTCGTGAACAAATCGTCAGATATCACAATTATTTATCTAAACCCTTTGTTCCAACATCTGGCGTGCCACAGGGCTCCAACTTAGTCCCACTGCTGTTCTTAATTTTTATAAATGATCTTGGCTCGTCACTGTGTTGTAGTAAATTATTATTCGTTGATGACCTAAAAATCTATATGGAAATTAATAGTATAGAGGATTGCAAAGTACTTCAGATCTGTATCAATCAACTCCTTCGTTGGTGTATGATCAACCGACTCACTCTAAATGCGTCCAAATGTTTTGTGATGACATACAGTAGGAAATTATCTTCACTTATTTTTGACTACAAAATTGAAAATTTGATTATCAATAGAACGGATACAATGAAGGACTTAGGAGTATTGTTTGACCAAAAGTTTACTTTTATTAACCATATACAGGATGTTGTAGCTAAATCGTTTAAAATCTACGGTTTCATCTACCGAGATTGTAAAGAATTTAATAACATTCAAGTTCTAATATCACTGTACACATCATTAATACGCACCAAATTGGAATACTGCTCAACTGTATGGTCACCAGTGTATGAAGTACATATTAAACACTTGGAATCTGTACAGCGTAAATTTTTGAAATTTCTTTGCTTCATCATTGATGGAACATACCCGGAGAGAGGATATAACCATTCATTATTGTTAAGAAGATTCAACATGAACTCGTTGCAAACTAGGCGAATTATGTTCAGTGTATGTTTTCTATATAAACTTCTTAATAACCAAGTGGATTGTAGTCTGTTGTTAGAAAAAATAAACTTTGTAGTGCCGAGATCAAACAAACATCAGACGGTGACATTCTATTGTGATGCATGCAGGACTAATTTATTACGTAGATCACCATTATTTGTAATGTGTAACAACTACAACAAAATCTGTAGTAAATGCGATATTTATTTTGACTCTGTAAAAACAATCAAAAAGGTTATCGAGCTAACTCAATAATTTAGAATAGAACTTTCTATTTTTAGAATGACTTGCTTTTTCTTTTTTCTTTTATAGAATGATTTGGTTTTTTTTTTCTTAATTATTATTTTTCTGTAATTGGGTTTTAAGCCTGTAGAAAAATAAAGTATTATTATTATTATTATTAAATACGGTTTAACCGGGTATCCGCTGTCGCCAACTAATATACAGTTTCCGTAGTGTTTGTTTTCAAATTTGTGGGCAATGGCGGAACTTCTAAAAATGTGGGCATCGTGGGCAGAGCCTGGCCAACGAGCAACTATGTCTCTTATTTTTAAATCGAAGTCTGCAACGGTTTGAACATTGAACGAAAAATATTGCTTGCGATTTCTATAAATCTCTGCATTTTCACCACCGGGGGATATAATTTTCACGTGACTACAGTCAGTAGACCCAGAAATCTAGCGATCCTGTAAAAACCTGCCTTACATTCTGAGATCTCTTCATTTGTCTCAGGCATACGTATCAGTGGCGGCTGGTGGGTCAAAATTTCGGGTTGGCCAAATATTTTGAGTCTACACCCTGGTGTTTTTATATTATTATATTTTCGTAATGGCCGCTACTCGTTAACCACTGACATTTTACGTGCCAGAATGTACAAAATATCTCAAATGTTTCGACCTCGACTTGTTAAAATAATTTTTTATAGGAAATTGACAATGTCAGTTTGATTCCAAATCCTTAATTCTACTTGTTCTGCTTTATGATTAATTGAGAACCACCGAAAAAATTATTTTTACTGGGTTCCGCGTTGACCGGCGGCTATACGGCTTACCGGCCCCGGACATCCACAATTAAATAAGAATAATTAAATAATGACATGCCGTTAAAAAATATAAAAAAGTAATAATAAAAGAACCAACTGTTAACTATGTTCATTTACATTTATTTTTGGAACGAAGTTCCTTACGGCAGGCTTGGAGGAGATAGGGATTTTGCTGCGCGACCGAACTGAAACAAACTTAATCTAAATCTTCAACACAAAGAGAGCCGTTTATACTTGTCGCTGAGTTAATCATTTTATCTTCTACGGTCTACCAACTACCATGCGTATACTCAAGTAATGTTTGTAGCACACATTTGTTCATTTTTTAAGGAATAATCACATCAAACATTGCGCACATAACCTCAATTTTTCTTTTTGAACAGGTGGTCGCAAAAGTTGAATTTGCTACCTCTAAATGAGTCGACATTTGCATGCGTCATGGCTGCTAGTGAAAAAAATATATTTTATATATATGTTCTATCCTAACGTACATTCAAACTTTATTTCTTTTTTTATTTTCTTATTTCAACGCTTACAAAGTATTTTAAAACGACTGGTACGGCGTGGCCGACCCTGCCGCCCCTGACCAGCCGCCCCTGAATTACGTATACATACAGGTCTCAAAGAAGCCAATGCTTCGCTAACTCCCTTCACTGTTTTTGAGGCTGTCGATTTATGCACTCCAATGAAGTCTCCAGCAACATGTAGAAACGAGCCAGTAGCATAAAAAGACAGTGTTAGAAGCAGTTCTGATCGGTTGGTGACAATGCAGCGTTTCTGAAGTGATCACAAAAATTTTACTGATGTGAAATTTAGATATATTATTTACTAGTAAGACTAACCTATTTGTTTTGTGGTGAATGTCTTCTAGTATCTCATCCGCTATATTTAATACTGTTTGAGGAGATAACCTAAATCTTTGTAAGAATTTCTATCCCATTTTTCAAAATGGTTTATGCGTTCCCTTAAAACTCTTTGTTTTCATACAGGCACCTCCTCATCGTCGCTATAAACGTTACTATCGACGAAATCCATCATTTTACTGACGACAGTTTTATAAAATCAAACGTCAAAATATGAAATTACTAGTTAACTGATTAACTGATACTTTGAGTTCTGGTTAAATGAAATTAGAAGTTAACTTTAAATCGTTAGTTAACGAAAATGGATTAACTAGAGATGGAAAAACCAACCCTAAGAAAACAAAACTGAAAATATAAACCCCGCCCACCCACCCCATCTCAATTGTGATGATTTTTTATTCTTATAAACTTAAGACATGTTTAAGATGGTAAATTTTTGTAAGGAAATATGGATTTTGTAAAAAGGCTCCGCCCCTAGGTCTGCCAGCGAATGAAACTTCATTACTATTTAGATCAGGACAGATATGGGTGGGGCTTAATCTTTGGCTTTAATTTTTTCTTAATATATTTAGTATTCCTTGAATAACATGGTACTCAGAAACATCTCTTACATGGTAATTTTTTGTAGAGAAATAAGGATTTTGCAGTTAAGCTCCGCCTTCTTGGCTCACGACAAATAAAAAAAATCATCACAATTGTGACAGGACGGGTGGGCGAGGCTACATTTTGCCTTTTTTTTCTTAATATGTGTAGACGTATTTCGACAACAAGAAACTTAAAACATAGCTAAAATGGTTAATTCGCGGAGTGATCAACTTAAATCCTTCACTTTTCTTCTACAACCCTTTTAAATACGGCAAAAGGTGAACATCAAAGTTACCATCGACGACAACTTGGCAGCGGAGTTTATGAATGACAATTTTCAGCTCTAAAAGCTACGTCAACAGCAAGTTTATAAATCCCATTTAAGGTTCAATCAAAGAAATGAAAAATATTTCTGTAGACTACTCTAACCTGAAAACTTTTTAATCGCACTGTTTTGCGCGAAATAAAATCACCTATTACGTTTCACGGTTTATTTATAACGCACAAATATTATAATTGCCGGTCTCTCGGGTCGGCACGTCTTTACCCTCTCCTTACTTCTGGACGACCCCCCGATCCGAATGGAATAATAAAAATAGTTAAACTACCCTAAAACGGGTGAGAGTAGGGTGGACAAATTGGCTACGCCCAAACCCCTGTTCAGGTAAACTGAAGACGCACGTTAAAACATGTACATACATATACACAGAGCTATATAAAGAACTTACTGCAATAGATCCGCCGAACATGTTGATTTTTTTTTATTTTTTTAGATACTGTCGCACCAGTCTCCACCAAGTACCGACAAAGTGCTGGACTTACTCCACATGAAAATCTACCGTACTTCAGATTAAATATTTTAAAGTAAATTGTTTAGTGCAGCAAATTATCTTATCGCTCGTGATAAATGGAAATCTATTTAATACTTGAATCATGTCAATCTATTCTCCATGTTTATGCGATCCCATTTACATCCACCTTTAAAAATTAGTGGAGTAAATACAGGCAACTTTACAACCTAAAAAGTCCCTGCAAATGAATTTCTCGTATTTGTTAACAGTTTCTTGTAATTTGTTTATCTATGGATTTAGAGCCTCAAAAACAAAAACCACTTAATATTATATTTTAATTATGGTTATTATTTATTTATTAAGGTCACATTTTTCCCATTTCAGTGCCCAGCTAGCGGCAAGCCGAATCGATCAAAGGGCATCGTGTGCCGGCCTGGAAGGCGCAGGGCGCACCGGAAGAAAACCACCGCCATTATTAAGATCCCGTACTTTACCCGCCATTGTTGTTCCGGGGGTGAACATTCTGCAAGCTCAACTCGGCAGCTATTCGCCAGGTAGTCGTCGCTTAATCCTTAGAAAAGTTTCACAGAAAATTGGCAGAGGAAATAAAGTTAAAATTTTCCGAGTAAGAGGAAACAGTTCAATTTATCCCACAATGGTGTGTTGAATTTTTAACTCGCTCGACACGAAACTTTATGCTCGTAAATAAATTCACTTTAATCAAACTTCTGCGGAGACGGAATCGGAGATTTTTGTTTATTCTGGTTTTTTTTTGTTTGTTGCGAAATTCGCCACAGAAACAATTATGTTTTCGAATCGAGAAGTTAGTCCGAAATTGATTACGCGTCGTGGAAAATCAGCCGGCTGCAAAGCTTGCACTTATTGAACGAGGTGTGGATATAAGTCTGGTTCTTTTAATGTACGATGTATACTAGAATCATCGAACAGTCTATAAATATGGCGAAACTCGAATCCAGCCTTAAAACGCTCCACTCATCCATATTTAACGCGTCTCTTTCTTTTCCGATCCGTTCGCTCCCGGCTTCCAGCCCTTCCTTGTCAAACCCGCAGTCGCCCATTCTCACCGCAATTAAATATTTACTCACATTCCAGACATCCAGCAGAGCGCGCCAAGCCGTCCCGGTTTCTCTTCGCGGTTCCTCTCGGCGAGGGTGTCCTTCAGCCGGGATGACACCGTGGCCTTGGACATGCGGCGGAAGTCGGCCGTCAGCCGGCTCTGCGGCTCGGGGAATTACGGCCCGGAAAGGGGAGCCGACGGCACCTTGTTACTCAGGTGAGAGAATCTGCCTCCAGTTACCGAAAACGGACTAATTATGCAGTCAAGAGGAAGGCTCCTTTTACTTTGTAGCGGCGAACGAGGTATAAATAAAGTTTCCGGTTACGCGACCCTTAAAGGGGGTTAGCGTGATGCCGTTTTACTGAAAGATTATAGGGGATACTTATTTCGTGTGACCGCATGATGGATGAGGGGCTTCAGAGGAACGGACGTGGGAGAATTTACGGCGTGGTTGTAGGTCACTGGGGAATATCATCGCGCGTAAACAATCCACACAAATACAACACATTAAAAATTAGCTCCAAAATTGTACGTGTCTAAACTGAAAAAATAATAATTGGCAAATTTTGTTGTTTAGTGAGTGTTGATTTGACTACTCATCCCTAGCAAATAGTGTTCTTCCCCCACTGCACAAGTAAGTACACTTTGCACACTAGTAGCTTGCTAACAAACCCCACCCTCGTACCTCTCACAGCACAACACGCCCTAAGCCTTTTGTTCCTTAGACGCGCCAAATACCCATTAAAATCTCAAGCAGGATAATAACCTAAAAGCAGTCGAAAAAAGGCGAGCTTTCCTGCTGTAACATCCTGCAGACACGAATAATAAGCCCGGATAATGCAAATACTCCGGTCATAGCGCCAAGGCTATGAAGTGGGGCGTAAGAGCATCACGCAACGAGAATACATCCTCCACTTACCTTCCTTCATATCTTATTACTGCACGAGCTCGTCGGCGATTTATAAATTACGTCGTAAAGCCGAGATTTTCTGCGGATTACGGGAAAACTCGGCTTTAATTCCTTTTTATTGTTTGTTGCAGAGTGCCGGCACCGCACGTGGTGGCCGCCAGAGCCTACAGGATATCGAGTCCTAGCAGCAGCAGTACTGCTTTGTATAGGTTAGGGAAGCTGCTGAATCAAGGCGGGTCTAAAAATCAGGTCGTGGTGGACGATTCCAACGTGCCGAGGAGGCTCAGCTGGGAGAGGTTTGTACTCTTAACTGTGGTGTGGTGTGTCCAAACTTGATACATATACAAAAATTAAGTAGTAAAGTCGCAGACAAAACTTCTTGAGTAACACAGATTATTATTTTATTTCCCTGTTTTTTTCCTGTTTTTCTGTTAAGTACGTAGCAAATAAAACATACAGCCTTCTGTCTTCTTATTTCTCTTTACACCCCACCACCTTTTTGCTTACGTTTTAATATTTCGTTCTTGACATTGTTTTCTCTTCCACTAAGTTTTTTTTTACTTTTCGTCGGCACCATAACAAAAATCGGACAAAAACAACCTCCATTCATATTCTGAACAAACTTCAAGTAATTCACCTTAACCAAACCCCCGGATTACCTACTTCCAAACTTATGAAACACCCACTTACCGCTTCCCCCAAGTAGGACAAGGGTAAATCGTCCATGCTGTAAATTCCATGATTTATCCCACCTCTCATAGTCACCCCGATAGAAAAACTTGAAAACTTTGTTTCAACTTTGAAAGTCGTCGGTTTATTGAGGCTTTCACTTCGACTTTCTTACTACTCGACTTCATATGTTCGCCGGTCCCCGACTAATATTGCGAAGTTTGAAGCCCTCATGTGCTTGACAAGAGAATAATAACCATCATCTGTCCCCTTAATTGTGTACACTTTCGGGAATGTTCCGAATTCTGCTCTAATTTCCACTATCAAGTGTGTTTATCTGAGCCTGCCTGCATTTTTGGTGCGAGTACAAAGGACAACGACCACAATTACCAGCACCGGACATGCGATGGTATTGATCTGTCCCTGTCGCTATTGTAAAGTCTAATTCGCTTTGACGTATAACCGATGATCTATGTCGGCAGCGATAAATCTCGTATAGGAGTTTGCCCGAAGAGAAGCGATGACCGATAAATTAATGATAAGAGTTTTAGCTTAATACGTGTGCAAAATTTTGCTATAAATTAATTCTAAAATACGTTGCAAGTCACAGTTTTTAGCAAATTTTTCAACCTCCACACAGCACCACGTAGAGGAGTTTCATAGTGTTCTAAAAGAAGGAATACATTTTTTGTTTATACTTAGTTTGGTAGGAGCAGCCCAGAAGATGGCGTGGAGAAAACTATAGTAGTGACGATTGACAGAATCTGGGTTCAATTGATGATATATGGTGATATATTTACCGTCACATTTATAATGATATATAGGTCACATAACATCCAATTTGACTTTTAACAATGGAAAAATAACCGATGCTTGCATAATTAGATGAATTTTAAATTTTATTGTGTACATACTAAACACGTAGCTCAAATTTTAGTTATTTTATTGACTTTTAACTTTAAATGTTAGATTCTACCGCTTGTAAAATGAGAACTCAGTTGCTATTGTAAAGTAATTAAAATAAGCCAGAGAAACGAAGAAAGGAAGTGGGCGGAGATAAGTGTTCACAGTGTTAGATCAAAGCAAGAGCCCCGCCCACCCACCCCTCTCTTTATTCTAGTGAATACCCCTAATATTGTTAATTAATGACAAGATTATTATCTCACTATAATCTTACTCAAATCTGTTAAACTGTTGATGAGAAAATAGATAAATTGTAAATAAAGTATCTAAAAAGTTTTAAGCTGGTGTTAAATACGTATAAGAATCCTTAAGAATCAAATTTAAAATCAATATTACTGACACTCCTCCCACTAGCACAAGCTCCTCCTTAAAAAATCATTTCATTGACCCGGAGAAGAGGGCGGCGTTCACAATTCTACCTAATAGAATTTACTTTATTATTTTAAAATATACCTATACGCTGACGCCAAAGTCGTTTTTCGAGCAAAAATCAAAAATACACTTGAAAAAATCTAGTTCTAGATTCTATTATTGGTCAATATAAAAGTCAACTGCGGTCTCAGAGCCAATAAAATCAGTTATCAAAACGAAATACGGGTGGGTGGGCGGGGCCACTTTTGACTTTGTTTTAAATCTTAGATTCTACCGCTTGTCCAAATAGAATTCAATTCAGAGAAATATAGAAAAAGATGGCCGGAGCTAAGTTTAGCTTTTTACCACACATCTGTTAAACCGTTGGGGAAAAACTACAAAATAAAACATCTAGAAAATATCAAGCTGGTGTTAAATAAGCGTACCAAACACAAAAATTACATTTCAAAAGCAATATTATTGATACTCCTCCAACTCCCAAAAACTCCACTTTAATAAAACGTTTCATTGGCCCGGAGAAGAGGGGTGGCGTTTACAATTGTACCTCATTGTGTCTATTGTATATGATTTTCAAATATTTTTGGGTAAACACTGACAGCAAGGTCGTTTTTCGAATTAGAATTAAAATTTTATCAAAACAAAATTAGTCGTGGATTCCATTATTTGTCAATACAAAATGCAACTTCCGTCACAGAGCCAATGGAATGAGTTATCAAAACGGAGTAGGGGTGGGTGGGTGGGGTCATTTTTATTTTGTTTAAATTTATTCTACCGCTTGTCAAATAAGAACTCAATTCCTATTGTGAAGTAATTAAAATAATTCAAAGAAACGAAGGAAGAAGGTGGGCGGAGATAAGTTTTCAGAGTGTCATATGAAAAAAATAGCCCCGCCCACCCACCCCTCTCTTTATTCTAGCTAATACTCTTAATAATGTTAATTAATGACAATATTATTATCTTATTATAATCTTACTTAAATCTATTAAATCTTGACGAGAAAATAGCTAAATTGTTAATAAAATATCTAAAAGTATGAAAATCTTGTTAAATAACCATACCATACTTAAGAATCAGATTTAAAATCAATATTACTGACACTCCTCCCACTAGCACAAGCTCCACCTTAAAAAATCATTTGATTGACCCGGAGAAGAAGAACGGCGTTCACAATTCTACCTAATAGAGTTTACTTTATTATGGTTATTAAATATTTCTACCTTTACGCTGACGGCACAGTCGTTTTTCGAACACAAATCAAAATTCCACTTGAAAAAATATAGTTCAGGATTCTATTACGTATTTGTCAATATAAAATTCAACTTCTGTCTCACAGCCAACAAAATGAGTTATCAAAACGGAATACGGGTGGGTGGGTGGGGCCACTTTTGACTTTGTTTTAAATCTTAGATTCCACCGCTTGTTAAAATAGAATTCAATTCTTATTTTACAGTAAATAAAATGAGTCAGAGAAATAGAAAAAGAGATGGGCGGAGTTAAGTTCAACTTTTTGCTATAAATCTGTGAAACCGTTGAGCAGAAAGTAGATAAATTATCAACAAAATATCTAGAAAGTATTATGCTAGTGTTAAATAAACGTACCAGACGTAAGAATTACATTTCAAAAGCAATATTACTGATGCTCCTCCCACTCGCAAAAGCTCCACCTTAATAAATCGTTTCATTGGCTCGAAGAAAAGGGGTGGCGTTTACAATTGTACTTCATTGTGTCTACTTTATATGATTTTGAAATATTTCAACGTAAACGCTGACAGCAATGTAGTTTTTCGAATTAGGATTAAAATTTGATAAAAAAAATTAATCGTATATAAACGGAGTAGGGGTGGGTGGTTGGGGTTATTTTTTTTTTAATTTTAGATTCCATCCCTTGTCAAATCATAATTAAATTCCTATGGTAAAATAATTAAAATAAGCCAAAGAAACAGAGAAAGGAGCCAGGCAGAGATAAGTTTTAAGAGTGTTATATGAAAGCAATAGCCCCGCCCACCCGCCCCTTCCTTTTGTTCTAGTGAATACCCCTAATATTGTTAATTCATGACAAAATTATCTTATTATAATCTTACTCAAATCTGTTAAACAGGTTAAACTGTTGATGAGAAAACAGATAAATCGTAAATAAAATATCTAGAAAGTATTATGCTGGTGTTAGATAAACGTACCAGACGTAAAAATTATATTTCAAAAGCAATAATACTGATGCTCCTCCCACTCGCAAAAGCTCCACCTTAATAAATCGTTTCATTGGCCCGGAGAAAAGGTGTGGCGTTTACAATTGTACCTCATTGAGCCTACTTTATGTGATTTTCAAATATTTCTACGTAAACGCTGACAGCAATGTCGTTTTTCGAATTAGAATTAAAATTTTATAAAAAAAAAATTAAACATATATTCTATTATTTGCCAATATAACATGGAACTTCCGTCACAGAGTCAATGAAATGAGTTATCAAAACGGAGTAGGGGTGGGTGGGTGGAGTCATTTTTATTTTCTTTTAAATTTTAGATTCCACCGCTTGTCAAATCATAATTAAATTCCTATGGTAAAATAATTAAAATAAGTCAGAGAAACGGAGAAAGAAGCTGGGCGGATATAAGTTTTCAGAAAGTTATATGAAAACAATAGCCCCGCCCACCCGCCCCTCCTTTTATTCTAGTGAATACACCTAATATTGTTAATTAATGACAAAATTATCTTATTATAATCCTACTCAAATCTATTAAATTGTTGATGAGAAAACAGATAAATCGTAAATAAAATATTTAGAAAGTATTATGTTAGTGTTAAATAAACGTACCAAACTTAAGAATTATATTTCAAAAGCAATATTATTGATGCTCCTCCGACTTGCTAAAGCGCCACCTTAATAAATCGTTTCATTGGCCCAGAGAAGAGGGGTGGCGTTTACAAATTTGCTTATTAAATCATAATTAAATTCCTCTGGTAAAATAATTAAAATAAGTCAAAGAAACGGAGAAAGGAGCTAGGCGGAGATACGTTTTAAGAGTGTTATATGAAAGCAATAGCCCCGCCCACCCGCCCCTCCCTTTATTCTAGTGAACACCCCTAATATTGTTAATTAATGACAAAATTATCTTATTATAATCTTACTCAAATCTGTTAAACTGTTGATGAGAAAACAGATGAATCGTAAATAAAATTTCTAGAAAGTATTATGCTGATGTTAAATAAACGCACCAGACGTAAAAATTACATTTCAAAAGCAATATTACTGATGCTCCTCCCACTCACAAAGGCTCCACCTTCATAAATCGT